CGAACGGTACCAATGTGACGGCAGTGGACCTATTCGAGTGTGTCTTCCGAACGGTGCTGCTGCTGATCTTGATGTCCTAGTGGTGATGGAGAAGCCATTGGGTTTTGATCTTGTGCTTGGCATGGACGGCATTGAGGCATTGGGAGGAGTTACGCTGGTAAACTCCAGTCAAGTGCAGTTCGGAGGTGAGCTCAACTGTGCTGCCGTTCAACTGACAAAACCAGAACCGACAGAACCAGAGCTGACAGAATCGGAACCGTTGAAACAAGGAGTGATGAACCCGGAACAGACAAACATGGAAACTGGTCTGAGTGGGAATGAGAGCCGTGTGAAAGTGCATGTTGATGAGGCAGATTTTCAAGCAAGTTACGATGAAAAGGATAAGAAGTGGACTATGAGCTGGAAGTGGGCGGATGGCTCGGCACCTGAGGCGCTGAGGGACACCGTGTCGGAGTATAAAATACCGCCAGAGAGCCGTGAGGAATATGAAGAGGAGCTGAAACAGTGGGTGGAAAACGGTTGGCTCGAGCCGTACGATGAAGAGAAACAGGGGCCGCCGAAGGGAACAATTCCTCTCATGGCGGTGCTGAATCGGAACAAGGAGAAGGTGAGACCAGTTCTAGACTTCAGACAGCTGAATTCGTTCGTTGATGCGCATACCGCAGACGCAGACGTGTGCGCCGAGAAACTGCGCGAGTGGAGGAAAAGGGCACTGATGGAGCCATGATCGACCTCCGAAAAGCATACTTGCAAGTGCACGTAGACGAGTCACTTTGGCCCTATCAAACAGTTGTCTTCCATGGCAGACGGTATAGTCTTACGCGTCTTGGCTTTGGTTTGAGCGTCGGGCCTCTGGTGCTGAAGAAGGTGTTGGCCACTATCCTGAGCTGGGACGCAGACATCAGACGCGCTACTTCAGCATACATCGACGACATCTTTGTCGATGAGAGTGCTGTTCCGGCGGAGCGTGTTGTGGCGCACCTCAAGAAGCATGGCTTGGACTGCAAGCCTCCGGAGCGCCTCTCTGGCGGTACCCGTGTCCTTGGACTTCGGGTACAGGAGGGGGACGGTCATCTGGTCTGGAGACGAGACAACACTGTCGGAGACGTCCCAGAGCCACTGACAAAGCGGGCTCTGTTCTCGCTATGTGGTCGGCTCGTCAGTCACCTTCCGGTCTGCGGCTGGCTGAGGCCGGCTGCCTCCTTCATGAAGAGAGTGGCGAATGCGACTACAACGTCGTGGGATGAACCGGTGACGGACCCGAAGATACTGAAGATGTTGGAAGAAGTCATGCAGCGAGTGGATGCAGCAGACCCAGCACGCGGCAGATGGGACGTGGATGGAGAAGACGCAACAGTATGGGTAGATGCGAGCTCCCTGGCCCTAGGTGCTGTGGTACAGATCGGGGGAGAAGTGGTTGAAGACGCATGTTGGCTAAGACGTGACGAGTGCGCCCATATAAATATGGCTGAGCTAGATGCAGCACTCAAAGGCATCAATCTCGTGATTCCATGGGGAGTCAAAACAGTGAAACTGATGACAGACTCGCGGACAGTCTACCACTGGCTGAGCGATGCGATTTCAGGAAAAGCAAGAGTGAAAACGAAAGCGGCGGGGGAGATGCTGATTCGTCGGCGACTGGAGACCATCAGAAGCACGGTGGAGGAATACGGTCTCCAGGTAGACGTGAGCTTCGTCACGTCCAGAGAGAACAGAGCTGACGCCCTCACCAGAGTGCCGCAGAAGTGGCTCGCTCCGACATCAGACGGCTCTGCTGTCCGTGTTGAAGTCGGTGGCGCCGACCAGCGAAGTGACGGTGGTGTAGCCGCCGCCGCAGCAAGTCATGACAACTCAGATGAGATCCGGCGCATACATGACTCGACTGGGCACCCTGGGATACGGCGCACCTTCTACTTCTGCAAGAAGTCCGTACCAGCAGTCACCAAGAGCCAGGTGCGCGCCGTCGTCCATCAGTGTCAGCAGTGCCTGTCGTTGGATCCAGCTCCAGTCAGGTGGTGTAAGGGAGATCTCAGCGTTCCGGAAACGTGGACACGGCTGAGCATGGACATAACACATGTGAACGGCGGCCAGTATCTGACGGTGATAGATAACGGCCCATCTCGCTTTGCTGTGTGGCGGAAGTTGAAGAGGCAGGACAGCAGCAGCGTCATCGAACAGCTGGAGCAGATATTCTTTGAACGAGGAGCGCCGCGAGAAATCCTAACGGACAACGCAGCGGCATTCCGTAGTCGTGCCTTCTCCGAATTCAGCAAGCGATGGGGCGTGACCATGCGATTTCGAAGCGCCCACCGACCCTCTGGAAATGGGATAGTGGAGCGGTGCCACCGGACAGTGAAGTGTATTGTAGCCCGCTCAAGCTGCTCAGTGCAGGAGGCACTGTACTGGTATAACGTGACACCCAAGGACGACGTCAGTGCTGAATCTGCTCCGGCGAATCAAATATACCGATATGAAGTGAAAATACGTGGAATCGACGAGAACTCCAGCGATCCTGGTGTAGTCGTGTGTCGGTTCAGCTTGGGAGATCGCGTGTGGGTTCGAGATCCCAACACACGATGTGACGTACCCAGTTCAGTGGGAACGGTCACCAAAGTGGTGTCGGCCCAGACCGTGGAAGTCGACAGCATTCCTCGTCATGTGCGCGATCTGCGCCAAGCTTCAACAGACTGCACTCAGGAGTCGGAGCCCAAGTATGAACGAGAAGAGCCCGGAGAAGACGCAGAGGAGTCATGGCTGATCCAGATACCAGCTCCAAGAACGACAGGAGGCTGCGAGCAGATAAATGACGCTGATGGTGCCTCCCAGCTCGAGTGTGAAGTGTCTCAGGCCACAGCGGCTGAGGTCAACGAGACTGAGAGTGCGGACAGCCCGGCCTCAGCCGTCGTCAGACAGATGCCAGCAAAGACGTGTAGCGTGAGGACCCGGCAAGGACATTGTAGTATTTGCCTCTGAAGTCTGCCCACGCGCGCTGTTGTATAGCGCTGCTCCAACGTTGTCTACATACAATTTAATGATCGGAGATCAGGGGGGAATGTGGAGTTATTTCTATTATCAAACTATGTTAGTAATTAGAAGTGCCTACATGATTTAGGTCATTCACTAATTATGAGGTGCCGGAGTGAATATGCACATGTTATATGCCGCGTGATTCAAAAATGCAAGAACGGCAATTTGGAGCAGCAGGGGTGAGGGCCGAGGGGGGAGCCGTAGAGGAACGAAGGAAAGTGGATTTATTGATATGGAGTGGAGTGAAGCAATTGTAGAAGCGTAATTGTTGAGTTCGTGGCGGATTTCGTATTGAGTTGAAATCGATAAACGCTTTACTTTTATTCGATCTCTTTCTAGTACAATACAGATTTGTCGTTACCAGTAAGTGGTAGTGCCTACTACGTGAAAAAGTACTCTGTTATGTGAACGCTGCCTCTCGTATCTTTATTAAAGAATAATAAGCATGAATTTCGACGAACAACAGCATTTTGAGTTTCCTATTGCAACAAAAAGCTGCACGACATAGATATCATAGTTGAAAACAAACCGCACAAATGGTCCATCATGTGCAGGTGGATTCGGAGACTCTGAGAGGGATTTTATGTCCCTTCATCATCATCATCATCATCATCATCATCATCATCATCATCATCATGTATTGCTAACAAAACAAGTATCAAACAGGATATGCATCCCTTATTTTATTGTGGCGGCTTCATAGGCTAAATGACCCATAATAGCCGTTTTCACGACGGGCTTTCCGGCGAATGCACCTGATTTGACCAAATCTGCACCTAATTTCTTTTACAGCAAATATCTTCATTTTTTGGAATTTATTTCAGTGTTTTAATCGATGATGCTCTCTGATAATATGACAAAGCAGGCATATAAGCAATTAGTGCAACCCTAGCTGATAGCTGCTAAGAGACACACTGAACCTGATTTGACCAAATCTGCACCTGATCTGCACCAGACGTGCACCAAACGTGTACCAGATGGCCGTCGTGAAAACGGCTAATGTCACCACGGGATTATTTTACCAAGCCAAGCGGGATGACTTGGCCGGTATACGTTCAGAGCCTTCGCTGCAAATGCTGAGTTGCTAAGTTTGTGGTGCCGATCTAGCTGGGGCAATACCACTGTGACATAGCCTATCTTCAAGGGAATAAGTCTACGTACCATAATCTCAGCAGACCACTGCCATTTTCAAAACGAGTTGCCTAAGAGCGAAATCCATGGTGGTGGGAATGGGAAGGTAACCGGAAGGCTTTATGTGAGTAGTGGGAAGGCCTTTTTGGATTTTCCATGAGAGATATATGGCATTCACATTTTACAGCAATGTAAACAGTAACTAGCGTTCAACTTAGTTGGCTTGATCAAGCTTTATATTAAATAATTAAAGCTTTTAAAGCAAGGTCATTTCATCAATCGTAACTCAGTATACTTAATGGGTTTTAAAAAATCGTTGCAGAAAGATGAAGCGATTTCATTAGTTGACAAAAGGATGCAGAAATAGATCCCTGAGACTTGGGCGAAATTTTAAAATCACTTGAACCAGCCCCGGGTTAAAGACATAGTCACAAAGAAAGTCTGACAATGAATCAACCTGGAAAATTCGTGTGAAATATTCACCATTGATGGCGGTGGAGGTGAGGACGATATTAGGGAGTACGGCATCCAACTAACAACGGCCAATTTGGCCTTCTGTTGAGGTGCTTTGGTCGCCTTGCTGAATTTGGTAGCGCATCATAATTCTATCACGAATGCCTAGTTATTCTATGTTGAATCCTCACTGCTCTGGGGGCAATGAATGCTAGACAAGCCATGGAAAAATGGAGCTGAAATATACAGTAAATTTTTAAGTGCATCATTTTCTTAGGCAGTCAGTTCACACAACTCTCCCCAACGTGCCAGTGAGCAGTGGCACACAGCATAGCATTGTCGATGGCCGCGGCTAAACGGGCCAAGCTGTTTCGGCTGGGCTGGCTCACCTCTGGCCGTGGCTGACGGCTGGCGGCAGGGAGGCTCAGAGGGCGGGCGGCAGGTGCTCAGACGGCTGGCGGCCGTGGACGCACCGCGCCGTCTCCTGACACGACTGACCCCGGCCCGGCACCCACCAACCGGCCGACCTGGCGGGGAGCGACTCGCGCAGCGCGGCCGCTCCTCGGCGCCTCTGCAACAGGCGCACCGACGTGGCCACCGACCCGGACCACCTGTCCTACTCGAACACCCGCGCCTCGGCGACCGGTGTCACCGTCAGTGACACCGGCGGTCCCGATCGGTGTCACCGGTCATCTAAAGGACACCGGCCGCGACGATCACGCGCCGTCCCGTGGCGCAGACGGATGCCGTCAGCTACGGACACACGTCACAGAGCTTGTCACAGAGCATTATCTCTGGTTGATTAGCACAAAAGATTACATGTGGAAGCCACAGCAAGGCGTATTTTCTAGGGAACAGCGCATCTGAATTCTGAAAAGAGCACACCTTTTTACTCTTTGGTTGAAAAACAGACGTCGCGATTAACCCGCGCCCTGCTGGGGGGGGGGGGTGTTTGAACACCCCCCTTGTGGTTTTTCGCGAATATCTCAAAAACGGCGGCGCGGAGCGCCGCCGTTTTTGGTACACCTTATCATACATCAATTCTACACATGTTGTGAAAATTTCAGACCAAGATCATTCAAGATCAGGTCACCAGGTCACTTGAAGTGACCTCACCTCATAAAAAGTTTCAATGTCTGTCATAGCTACACCGAGTGACCGATCGCTTTGAAACTTTCAGCGATTGCTAAAAGTAATAGCATGTACAAAATGTATATCTCAGAATTTTGATATCGATGACCTAAGGTCAGGTCAATTTTGCGACCTCCCCATTATAAGTCAATGGGAGAAAATTGAAATGTGCCTCTTTTGGATGAAAGACATTATAAACACTCTCAAACACTGAATTACAAGTGGTTTAGACACACTGAACATGAAAATAGTGTCAATGACCCCTGTTTATGCCCTGAGGTCATCTTAGGTCACGAATGGTATCTAACAGTTTTTCGCAATTAACTTTTGATAGAGGCATGCTAGAGCGATGAAAACGCCTTAGCTGTGTTCAGCTCGACGATACGGATCGACTGATATGCAACATGACCCTTTCCGGTCAGGTCATGACATTGACCTGAGGTCACATTTTCAGGTTGACCTTTCAAGGTCAAGTTCTAGTTCATTCGATGTGTCTTGACGAGAGGAACACGATACCGGTAAAAGTAAGCTCGTACAAGGCTTGGGTCAAAAGTTATTGCAGAAAAACTGTTTGAAAAAATCGGCTATTTTTGCAGTTTTTGCCCCCTGCAGGCAAAACCGTTGACGTTAGGTCAAATCTTAGAAATCACTCAGAAAGGGGGTTAATAGGGCTATCGAATGCGCTTTTCCGCGGCGCCGTAGCTCTATTGGTTCCCGAGTTATGCGTTGGCTTCTTGGAAACTGTCGACATTCGACCTGGAAATCGGCGAAATTTTGCCTTCAATGACCTCTGGTGACCTGACCAAAAAATTGACCGAAGTGATTTCGTCATTATTTTTTACGCTCTTTCGAACGCCGCCTTCTGTGTATCGCTACGTGGCCCAGGAGCCGAGTTAGAAGGGGGGGTGTTCAAACACCCCCCCCCCCCCCAGCAGGGCGTGGAAATCCAGGACCCCCAGCCGGGCGCGGGTTAAAAGATGGCATCCTTCGTTGAGCTAAGTAAGTGTATGGTGTTTTTTTGTAGTCTTATAATGAAGCTATTTAATTAAAACATCAGTTTTTTTGTCGTTGAACTTCCAACTAGGTAACCACGAAATGTCTAACCGCAAATGCCATGTGAAAATCAAAACTCCACAGAGTCTTATCAATGAGAGATAGTAACATAGCTTTTTGTTCGAAGACGAACATGAAAATCTATGACTTTTTTTTAGTCAAGCAAACAAAGCAAACAAACAACTACATTTACAGGTAGCTATCAAATTTAATGTAATGCACGAAACTGCGGTTGATCCAATATGTCATTCATGCCAGCTTTCATCCCATATGAGCCCCAAAAGTGCACCATGTTGGGACCCAGATGGGTGTGTGATGGGCGCCCAGCTGGGGGTCAACTTTGGTAGCCCAGATTTGGTAGCCCACAAACAGCCCACGAAGATGCTAGACCAGCAGCGTGCTATGCTCTGATCAAGAGGAAAACCGAATAACAAATCTCGTATAATGATTCGAATGGAAATGAGCTCGAGTTTCACTGCTCGACATTTTTGCAACTTAACCCGCGCCCGGCTGGGGGTCCTGGATTTCCACGCCCTGCTAGTGGGGGGGGGGGGAGTGTTTGAACACCCCCCCCCCCCTTCTAACTCGGCTCCTGGGCCACGTAGCGATACGCGGAAGGCGGCGTTCGAAAGAGCGTCAAAAATAATGAGGAAATCATTTCGGTCAATTTTTTGGTCAGGTCAAAGGTCAGGTCACCATAGGTCATTGAAGGCAAAATTTCGCCGATTTCCAGGTCGAATGTCGACAATTTCCAAGAAGCCAACGCATAACTCGGGAACCAATAGAGCTACAGCGCCGCGGAAAAGCGCATTCGATAGCCCTATTAACGCCCTTTCTGAGTAATTTTCTCAGATTTGACCTAACGTCAACGGTTTTGCCTGCAGGGGGCAAAAACTGCAAAAATAGCCGATTTTTTTCGGAAACAGTTTTCCTGCAATAACTTTTGACCCAAGCCTTGTACGAGCTTACTTTTACCGGTATCGTGTTCCTCTCGTCAAGACACATCGAATGAACTAGAACTTGACCTTGAAAGGTCAACCTGAAAATGTGACCTCAGGTCAAGGTCATGACCTGACCGGAAAGGGTCATGTTGCATATCAGTCGATCCGTATCGTCGAGCTGAACACAGCTAAGGCGTTTTCATCGCTCTAGCATGCCTCTATCAAAAGTTAATTGCGAAAAACTGTTAGATACCATTCGTGACCTAAGATGACCTCAGGGCATAAACAGGGGTCATTGACACTATTTTCATGTTCAGTGTGTCTAAACCACTTGTAATTCAGTGTTTGAGAGTGTTTTAATGTCTTTCATCCAAAAGAGGCACATTTCAATTTTCTCCCATTGACTTATAATGGGGAGGTCGCAAAATTGACCTGACCTTAGGTCATCGATATCAAAATTCTGAGATATACATTTTGTACATGCTATTACTTTTAGCAATCGCTGAAAGTTTCAAAGCGATCGGTCACTCGGTGTAGCTATGACAGACATTGAAACTTTTTATGAGGTGAGGTCACTTCAAGTGACCTGGTGACCTGACCTTGAATGACCTTGGTCTGAAATTTTCACAACATGTGTAGAATTGATGTATGATAAAGTGTACCAAAAACGGTGGCGCTCCGCGCTAATGACGTCACTCTGACGTCATTAGCGGCCAACCTATCATAGCCTTTGGAAAAATTTTTGGTCACCATGTGCGCTAGCTGCTCCCGGGAGGGTACTGAAAGTTTGGTGACGATCGGCGCAGCGGTTCTCGAGATATATCGAAAAACTAAAGGGGGGGCAAAAAATTGCCCCCCCCCCCCACCGCCTGGAAGGTTAACCCGCGCACCGACGGGGGTCTGCGCCAACTTCGCACCGACGGGGGGCGGATGACCGCCCCCCCCCCTGAGATCTCGAGAACGAAGCAAGATAGCGACAAGCGGTAAACGGCATCGGATACGCACGGCCAAGATCCACAATTTTTACTAAGGTCATTTTCAGGTCAGGTCAAAGATGACGTCACAGGGGTCGAAAAAGTCAAAATGGCGGCGCTAGATATGGAGAGATTTTTTTCTCGAATAACTTTCGAATTAGTCAAGATAGGAACAAACTAAGGGCATCATTGTGTTCAGCTCGTCAATCCGCATCGAATGATATATATGTTGACCTCGAAAGGTCAAGGTCAAAGGTTGACCTCAGGTCACGTGACCTCGAGGTCATCATGTATATCATTCGATGCGTCTTGACGAGCTGAACACAATGAGACCATCCACGCGTCTGTATCTTGTTTCTGTACGGAGTTATTGGCCAAAAACCTTTGGTGACCTTTGATGACGTCACATGACCTCACAGCTGCCCAACAGCAAAACAGACCTCAAGGTAGTGAAGGTTGATCGTATATGAAGTCATGTAAAGTATATGGGGCCATTCCGACCCGTTTTAGTGGTAAAAACAGGGAGTTGATTTTTCCCCCATTGACTTATAATGGGGAGGTCGCGAAATTGACCTGACCTTAGGTCACCGATATCAAAATTCCGAGATAAACAAATTGTAGCTACTAATGACCTAATAATATCCTGCGACTTTCAAAGGCCTCCGACATCTACTGTAGCTGTGGCACGGTGACAAAGTTGCAAAAAAGTGACTTGAGGTTGGGTCATTCAAAGTGACCTGGTGACCTGACCTTAAAAGGTGGGAAGTTCAAACTTGCACACCATGTGTAAAATTGATGAGGTTATAGTCATACCAAATTTCGCGGCGCGTAGAAAAACCTCAGGGGGGGGGCGGATATCCGCCCCCCCCCCCCCCGTCGGTGCGCGGGTTAAAGGAAGTCGGCTACACACGGATACACTATGGGAGAAGGTTCGGTTCCTTATCGACGCGTAATGAATCCATAAGTTCAGCTCAATATCAATCTATATATCCGCAGAGCCTTGCCTTCAGTAAACTTTCAGCGGCTGATGATCGACTGTCAGTATATAGCTCATCGGCGCTGGCCTCAGGGCAACCGTCCATGCGCTCTGATGTCGATATTCATCTGCTGACAGTTTTCCATGGACTGTTGTGGACGCGTATTGTATTATGTAAGAGCGGCAGTACCTACGCCTCGCTTCTACATATTGATCGGTGCTCAACTGTGCTATAGCTGCCGGGCAAAAAGTGTGGAAACAAAATATTTCACAATAAAATAAGATCTAAAACTGCCAAAACACACAAAAAGTATTAGGTAGAGACTAGAGTACATCCTGGCTTAGCTCGTATAGTTAAATACATACCTATTTTGCAGGTACCTATAGGGGAGACCCGGGAGGTATGGGCCCCCTGGAGCCATCGGAGTTTTGAAGAAGTATTGCGTATT